ATGAGACAATAAACCTCTGTGGTATAAGCCATCCGTTTACCACAGTGGACCCAGCAAACCAACAGATTTTGGTACAGATGCTTATGCATTTGACCTTATTTGGAAATAATAGGATCGTTGCATGGTTAATTAAGTTTTAATTGAGACGAGGGCATATCGGAATAGGATGGTCCTTAACCCAACAGGACTGCTGTCCTCATAAGGAGAGTCACAGGCTGGGCGCAGTGGCACACACTTGTAATTCCAGTGGCTCAGGAGGCTGAGACAGAAGGATCACAAGATCAAAGCAGCCGCGGCAAAAAGCGAGGCACTAAGCAACTCAGCGAGACCCTGTCTCTAAATAAAATACAAAATAGGGCTGGGGAGGTCGCTCAGTGGTTGAGTGCCCCTGAGTTCAATCCCCAGTATACCCCCAAAAATGAATGAATAAAAAATAAAAAAGCAAGGAGAGTCACAGAGACACACAGAGGGAACACAGCTGTGTGCCAACGGAGACAAAGACTGGAATTCTAAAGCTCTAAGCCCAGAGCTGCCACCAAAGGCTGGAACAGAGGTGTTGAACAGATTGGCTCTCGAGGCCCAGGAAAGAGCCCACCTTGTCTACTGGTACCTTGATTTTGGGCTCCTTACTCCAGACCGTAAGAGAAGAAACTTTTGCTGTTTTAAGCTACCCAGTTAGTGGTACTCTGGGACAACCTCCCTAGGGAATGAGCACACCAACCTTTTAACCACAGTCCTGATTTCGGGAGACGAGAGCAAGTCCTGCCTTAGCCTTGTGGTCTGGCATCCTTCCTCTGTCTGTGTAAGACTCTCCAGGGCTGGAGCTGTAGCTCACCTAGCCCATGTGAGGCCCTGGGTTCTATCCTCAGCACCCCATATAAATAAATAAATAAATAAAAGTCCTTGGGTTGAAGGCAACAGACAAATTAAAATAATAATAATTAAAAAAAAAACCCTCCAGGCAAACCCTGTAATTTGATCCTACACGTCCTGCTGTGGGTCTCTTCACCCTCCTTGGCTAGGAGAAAACCCTCTGTTGAGTCGTCTCCTACTTTTTTTTGGAGGGAGGAGTACCAGGGATTGAACTCAGGGGCACTTGACCAAGGAGCCACGTCCCCATCCTATTTTGTGTTTTATTTAGAGACAGAGTCTCACTGAGTTGCTTAAGGCCTCACTGTTGCTGAGGCTGGCTTTGAACTCACGATTCTCCTGCCTCAGCCTCCCAAGCCACTGGGATTACGGGCGTGCCCCAGCAGTCCTCTGTGTGTCTCACGCTTACCTAGGCCTCCCAAGCCCCTGGAATGCACATTTGGCCCAGGGTGGTCTCGTCAGCTCTCTCTGGGTTGCTTTTATCCCTCTCTGAGGGAGAGGTGGAAGGGGAGGTGAATCTGGAGACCAGATGTGCAGCAGGGAGAACGTCCCAAGTTTCAGTCTCATAACTGACAGGAGGGGAGCTACTGATAGCTTTGAAGCAGCAGAGGTCATTGGTTCTCATGCCCTAATTGAGTGCCTGCTGTATGTGGACAGTGCTGAATGGTGGGGAAGGGGGCCAGGTAGGAATGCTTTTACCTGCAAGGGGCAGGACACCTGAGGACCCGTGACGGCAGGAAGCATTTACCAGATGGCTCCTGCCTTCCTTGTGGAGGTTGGCTCACTGTGGCTGATGGGAAATATCTTGTGAGATTTTTCTTCTATCCTCTTCCTGTATAGAGATGAAGTCTCTGCCGCACTGTCCTGGCAACTGTTGGGGAACTGGCTCTCTGAGGGAAAAGGTCCTGACTGGGAGTGTTTGCCCATGTCTGTGGGGTAAGAGCCAAGGCCATGTTCAAGGATGACTGCGACATCAACAACTGAAAATAGAACCGTGGGCTCTCTCTGGCCAGTAACAGGGGCTCCACTCCACTACCCAGCCTGTCTCCTCTCTGGAAGGATTAGGTTTGTGACTGCTTGAATCCAGAGTCCAGCAGAAGAGACCTTCCATGATTCCAAAAGGGAGTCAGAAAGGCTGCAACTTCCAAGCTGAGGCTGGTCTAGGAAGACCCTCTGGGTGCCCTGAGCGGCTCAGGTAATGAGTGACCATCCGAGACACCATGCTGAAAAGGCCACATGTAGACCCTCCAGAAGACAATCCTAGGTGCCAGCTGTCCCCACCAAAGTGCCAGATGTGTGCATGAAGCTGTTTTGGACTTTTAAACAGATTCCATTACCAAGTGACTGTCGTCCATGCCATCAGGATCAGAAATAGCAGCCAGCTGAGCCAGTCTAACTCCCAAAGTCCTGAGACTCAACGCTTGCTTTAAAGTATCTAAATTTGAGGACAGTTTGCTTTGTAGCAGATCATGAAATACCTCCCACAAGCATTTCACCCTCTTTCTCCCTTGTCTTTCTCAACTGAAGAGACTGGAAAACTGGACACTCGGATTCCAAGCCTCCCTTGCATCTAGGTACGATCACATGATGCAGTTTTTAAGATGCAGACTCCAGGAGACAGTGGTCAAAGTCCCTGAGGAAGTTTTCACTTCCTAAATAAAAAAAAAAAACAAAAACAAGTGCTTAGGAGGAGAAGCCCTTTTACTCTTTATCCTTCATGACTCATTCTTCCTGCCTGGAATATAGATACGATGGTTTGAGTTTCTGCAGCCATCCTGCATCAGGAAAGAAACAGAGAGGGGGTCTGTCATCAGTTGTGCTAGGTCTAGATCATCTGCCTCTGGATTGTTGATTACAAGCTAACATCATTGTCAAGTTCCCTGTTACTCCTAGCTAGGAGCAATTTCACTGAACATCCTTTATATAAATCAATTTGCAGCAGGTTGAATGACTGAAATCAAGGAGGTTGGATCACAGGAGTGCGGCTTATGCAATCACCAGGGTCTCACACTGAGGAGGGCGCATTCTTGTTTTAAAGCTCTGCAATGTCCACCTTGAAATTCTGAGTGACCATATTTCATCACATAATTGCCACAGGTTTTACGCCAAATTCTTTTTGCAAAAAAATACAAGGCGAAGCTTTAAACAAATTGTTGCCAGTATTACTTAAAAATCATTTGTTACTAAACTATCTTCAGTGCAATATTAGGATGCATGGAAAACTTGTAAATCTATGTTAAAATTGAATAATCCAAATTGATGCACCTCATTTCTTTGTGTTTAGTGAACAATTCTCTGGAAAAAAAAAGTTAACACACCAGTTATTGATTTGCATATTATAGTCGAAATATTGCACTTGAGAAAACTTGCTACAGTGTTGCAAAGTATGGACTTATAAGAATTTAATCTTCTGTGTCCATAGATTCTGCTCTACCAACATTGCTTTTGTTATTGGCACTCACATAAGATTCGCTCAGCATTAGGCCTGCCTGCTCTCAACAAACCATGCAACCATTAGAAACATCGTGTGCCCTGAGAACTTCAGGTTCCAGGCTCCCAGTGAGGGAAGATAAATGTGCATCCTTAGGCCACTGGTGAACATATTGCCACTGTTCACCTTTTAAGTGGTGTGACAAGCAGAATTATGCTGAGTGACAATTAGGCGATGAAAGGTTATAAACCAATTTTTGGATTGAAAAAACAGAGTATGATGATTATGCAAGGAAATACAGTATTTTGGAACAAGAGCCTAGCCCTTTTTACTTTGCCGGGGCCCCATAAATTATGCAGTCAATCCTGGGTTTGATGAATCAGTACAATCATAAAAGGAATTTGTAAATGATCAATAAGCTTTGAATTTGACCACTCCATTTTTTTTTCAATTAAAGTCACCAGAGAAGATGTAGGAGAAGTATCAAATTTGCAAACAGCACAAAATATGACAAATGCCAATTAGTTAATTGAAAGATTTATTTATCTATTTGTGGGACTGGGGATTGAACACAGGGATGCTCAACTACTCAACTACATCCCCAGTCGTTTTTATTTTATTTAGATACAGGGTCTCACAAAGTTGCTGAGGCTGGCCTTGTACTTGCTATCCTCCTGCCTTAGCCTCCAGAGTTGTAAGACTATAGGCATATGCCACCACACCTAGTGAAAGATTGAATATATTTTTTAAAAATCCAAATAGACATGAAGCCCGAATTGAAAAGATATTTAACAAGATGTTAACCCTGAATTTGAGCTTAAATCCTGCAGTTGGTGTGGTATCAGGTGAGGTTAAGACTTGGTAGCGACTGGCCAGTGTCCAATCTGCTTACCCCAGCAATTTAGCACATGCAAGCGTGCATACACATGTATAAAAAACACAAATAGTATATGCATGTAGTGGTTTTACATAAAAATATCACATGTATTATTTATGAATCAGTTGATTTTTATCACATTTTACCATAGGTACCTAGAATTGACCACATTGTTCATTAAAGGTTTAAAATAACAAACTCCTGATGAGAAAAATTGATGCAATATTTCACCAACATGCGGAAACCTGTTGGTTAATAACTGAAAAGCAAAACAACAAACCCTAAGCCAAATGCCCCCAGACCTTTACTATTATCATCAAAAGGAAAGATAGCTTTCTTTTTTTTTTTTTTCCTATTGTCAGGATTCAGATGATCCAAGCCAAGGGCTTGGTATACAGTGAGCCCCCAAATAAATAAGTCCCTATAATAATAGAGTCTTTACTACTTGTGGCCAAAACTACTGCCTAAAATTCTCTTTGGTGTCAAAAAGAAATGAAATTTAAAGAAATCGAATTCACGAGAGTCAGATATGGAGGCCGTTCATCTTTGAGATCAAAGGGCAGGAAGGAGGTCAGAGCAGGAACTGCATCTCAGCAGAACCCGGGGCTAACCACACGCAGGTGGAATCCTCGGCACGTCAACGAGTCTGCGCCAGCAAAACAACCATGAGGTGAGGGTGCCACCTGCTGGTCACTGAGCAGTAATCCCGCGACAATCCAAAGGTTTGATGGCTTGGTCGAGGTGGGGGTGGCGGTGAAGAGGAGAAAATCAATGATTTCCTTATGTTTTTGTATGATCCGTCTCATTCCAGCACGTGTGTGCTCAGCAGGTAGGTATCATCAATGTTATTAAAAGAAAGCGATTTCTTTTTTTTTTTTTTTTTTTGGTACTGGGGATTGAACCCTGGGTGCTTAACCACTGAGCCACATTCCCAGTTCTTTTTATTTTTTATTTTAAGACAGAGTCTCACTAAGTTGCTGAGGGGCAGCGCTAAAGCTAAATTGCTGAGGCTGGCCTCGTACTTGTGATCCTCCTGCCTCAGCCTCCTGACCTGCTGGGATTACAGTGGTGCACCACCACATCTGGCAACACCAGACAAATTCTAATGTCCACAAAAGGGTAATTTTGCTCCTATCCATATGGTACTAGGGAAAACCCATAAACAGTGTTTTCACAAAGCAGCATTTGAAAGAAAATGAATTTGGAAGTTTGTCTGTAGACTTCTGACTCAGTATAGCCACTGCCAAGTGATCTTTAGTAAATTACTTAACCCAGACTCATTTTTCTCCGCTGTAAAATAGAGCCACTCACGTTGTCCTCAGATGGGGACTGGGGACTTGTGGTAGAAAGTGTCTTGGTGACTTTCCAGGTCCCAAGGCACATGGATAGTTTTCAGAGGAGCAGTTTACAGATCCTCAGCCTCCACTGGCTCCCTTATCTAACCCTGATCTGCCTGGGGACAATTTCTGCAGGCGAGGTGTCCAGCTGGGTTTTGGCCCCCTAGCCCATTTCATAATGGTTCTCCTCCTGCTTGGAAGAAGGATGGCCCCCTGACTTCCCGCCTCAGTCTTACTCAGGTGCACTGTCTGTGTGGGGGGGGGGCGGGGACCACCAAGAATCATAGGGACAAATGAGACTATTTGTGTCTTGATGAGACTGGGAACAGGACTAGGAACTGGACCACAAGAGCTGAGGATTGGGGGCTGTTCCTAAGCATTGTTTTAAACAAAGTGCAAAGAGGACCAAATAGAGTTGCCCATTAGGAAAAACATTAATTATTAATAAAGATAATTTCACTAAATTATACCTGACACATTATAGTGAAGAAATTCAAAGAATTAAGAGAGGCTGTCATAACAAAATTCACACCAGGCCAACTACTGATTTACAGGAGGCAGATTTCTCAGAGCATACTTTAAAAAAAAAATATTATTGAACAATTACAGATTCACAGGAAGTTGCAAAGATGATACAGAGGTTCAATGTCACCCAGTTTCTCCTGATGAAGAACCTTACTAGCTAAAGGGCAAAGTCAAAACCAGGAAGCGGACACTGGTACAGCACATGTATGGGGATCTGGGCCATTTGGTCAGGTGTGCAGATTCACCTGAGCACCTGCAATGAAGATACTGGGTGAGTTCATGGCAGGAGAGATGTTTACCCTGATTGGAACATTACAGGTTCCAATGTACCCCATAAATATGCACCCCATAAATATATACATTATTTATGTATCTTTTTGTGTGTGTGGTGCTGGGGATTGAACCCAGGGCCTTGCGCATGTGAGGCAAGCACTCTACCAACTGAGCTATATCCCCAGCCTAATTTTAAAGGCACTGGAAATGCTGGGGCTGCAGCAGTGGTGGAGTGTCTGCCCAGATGCCCAAGGCCCTGGGTTTCATCCCCACCTGGGGGGGGGGGGCGGGGGTCGGCACTGGAAGATTCCACTGCATTAAGCTCTCTCCTGGGTGGCTCCTTTTGTTGTCACGGCCAGCCCTCATGCCCCCCTCTCCTCACCAGGGCGACCTCTGACCTATTCTCCATTCTACAATTTTTTTCTTATTTCAAGGACGCACAGAGATGGAGTTAGGCAGGAGGGGACGCAGGAGCCCGGCGTTGCTCACGGGCGCGCTGCCCTGGAGATGCCCCCGCGCCGTCTTGGGCACCTTGTCCACAGCTCTCCATCTCTGTTTGCTGAGTGGTTTCCCACGGGCGTACGACTTTCTGAAAATCCAGGAGAGAACTGACGATGGGACCGTTTCACCGTAGCGTCAGCTAATTTGCTACGCCCAAGATTAACACGTCCTAGGCCCCACCCCTCGGTCCTGGGGGAGGGGCCTCTCCGGGGCTGACCTGCGCAGAGCGGCGCGTGGGCGGGGCGTCCTGCCTCTGCGGCGCGCCTGTCCCCTTGCTCCCGAGGCTGGCAGCTGGGTGAGGGGCCTTTGCTTCTCTTCTCCGACCCGCGGCGCCCCAGGGCCTGTCGGTGCACTGCAGCAGTGGCAAGGGTGGCGCGGTGGCAAGCGTCAGCGTGTGCGCCCTAGTGGCATCAGCGTGTGCGCCCTAGTGGCGTCAGCGTGTGCGCGCTGGTGGCGGGGGTGACACTGGCCTAATACATATTCACCTTGAGAGAAAGATGGGCCTCAAGGCCAGGATCATGGAGATGATTCGCCATGTCTATGAGAAATAGGGTGGAGCACATCCTAGTATTCTCCCGATAGTGCTCTGTGCACGTGGACATCTGGGATCCAGTGTTTATGACAAATAAGAAGATTGGATAACCAAGATGTGACTAATGGAGAGCCTGCTGTACTTATCAAAATGATGCCAGAGTTCCAGAAAAGTTCAGTTCGTATCAAGAACCCTGTAAGAGTAGAAGAAACTCTCTGTGGTCTTATCAAAGGAGGAGTTGCCAAACGTCAGATAGTAACAGACATTGATATGACACTAAGTAGGTTTCCTACACAGGGAAAAGATGCCCAACATGTCATAATATCATTGACAACTGTCAGCTGGTTACAGACAAATGTAAAATAATAAAAGTTATTGCAACTAAAGGAACAGCATTATGCTATAGAAGTTGATCCTGTTCTTACCGTGGAAGAAAAGTACCCTTAAATGGTAGAATGGTATAGTAAGTCTCACGGTTTGATTGTGGAACAGGGTATACCAAAAGCTAAACTTAAAGAGATTGTGGAAGTATCTGACGTTATGCTCAAGGAAGGATATGAGGATTTCTTTGTTAAGCTCCAACACAGTATCCCTGTGTTCATATTTTAGGCTGGTATTGGTGAAGTTATCCATCAAGCTGGTTTATCATCCAAATGTCAATAGTGTCCAACTTCATGGATTTTGATGAAAATGTTGTCCTCAGAGGACTTAAAGGAGAACTGATTCATGTATTTAACAAACATGATGGTACCTTGAAGAATACAGACTATTTCAGTCAACTAAAAGACAACAGCAACATAATTCTGCTGGGAGACTCCAGAAGAGATTTAAAAATGGCAGATGGGGTAGTCAATGTTGAACACATTCTGAAGATTGGTTATCCAGATGGTAGAGTAGATGAGCTTTTAAAAAAATACATGGACTCTTCTGATATTGTTTTGATAAAAGAAGAATCACTGGAGGTTGCCAACTCTATTTTATAGAAGATTCTATAGACAAGTATTTTTCAAGAAGACCTCTCCCATGGGTGCAAATGATACAAAATCTACTCATCTGTCCAACTAGCTGAAAAACTTATTTATAATATATCTTATTTATAATAAGTATATTATTTTCCCTTTACATAACCAAAATATTTTTAGACATGTTGAATCCATCTCCTGGAAGCTCCTTTACCCCCACCTCTTTCAATACACTCCTCATCATATTTTTAACCCCTAAAAAAAATGTTGAAG